ACCAAAAAACAAGGGTTCAGGAATGCAATTTGAGTGGGATAAATTTATTGACTCTAAAATGCTTTATTAAAAAAAATTGTAGGTACTAAACAATTCACTTGTCCTGCATAATTAATTTAAAATAGACAAGTATAATTTATTAATAAAACCATCTCAAGACGATTAAATACTTTAACTTGCAACCCAATCATCTCTGACGACACAGATACTGTGTCACAATGAAAGAACTCCCTGTTGGAATTTCCATGTGATTACCAAAAGGCTTGAATGAGCAATGGCTATTCTTTTTTTAAAAAAGGAAAGCAATAGGATAAATAATCTTGTCTAAACTATTATTGAGCTTCCCATTTAATCCATAATAATCAATGGCAAATAGTCTGCTACATCAGTAGAAGCATGGGCACCCTACCAAGTTATTGCCTTATCAAAACTAATATTCCTACATTCTATCTAGGTGTTGCCTTATCAACACTAAGATATCTCAAACTTCAGCATATATAAGAATCACCTAGGAAGCTTATAAATGCAGATGTCTGATTCATACACATTGGATATATTTTGAGAAAATCTTCAGTAAATTCTGATACACATAAGAGTTTTAAAACCATGGCCATAGTTTAAAAAGAAAAAAATAGGAAGTGCAACTGGGGTATTATGTCAAAGAATGTCATTTAACCTACAAGTTTTATGTTTTTATTTTTTTGAAAGAAATTCGCAGAAATAAAATGGGGGAAAGTTGAATATACAAGCTATACAAAAACAGAAATAATAGAAATTGCAAAGTAGGCCAGGCATGGTGGCTCACACCTGTAATCCCAGCACTTTGGGAGGCCAAGATGGAGGATCATGCGGTCAGGAGATAGAGAACATCCTGCCCAACATGGTGAAACCCCATCTCTATTAAAAACACAAAAAATTAGTCTGGTGTGGTGGTGCATGCATGTAATCCCAGCTACTCGGGAGGCTGAGACAGGGGAATCGCTTGGGCTCAGGAGGCAGAGGTTGCAGTGAGCTGATATCGTGCCACTGTACTCCAGCCTGGCGACAGAATAAGACTCCATCTCAAAAA